TTTTTTATATTCTCGAAATGCAGATATTTATAAATAAATATAATTAATGTAAAATATAAGAGTCAGGGTATCTAACCTCTGAAAATATTGCTTAAGGTATAAGCAAGCATATGTGCTTTACTAAAAAACCAAAATTACTATATTTATATATTTAAAACTTTCTCTAAAGCAGGCATATAATATATAAGTCTTAGTACATGCTCTAATCTAGTTTCAAATATACATCTGGGCGTAAGAGCATTTGATCTTTGGCACTTCTTTCACATTCGTAATTCATAACTGAGAGTTCAATTAAGATTTGAAGCACACAGCCTCAGCGCTGGTCGCTGACGTTGACGTGCCACACATTTAACATTTAAGTTAACAACATTTTTTGACAGCTGCTTTCAGCCAGGCTAAAAAGTGGGCGGCCACACGGCAGCTAGATTTAGGGCGCGGCATCATTAAATGTATTTAACCAGGCATGTTTGTGGACAGCAGACAGATAGCTGATGCAATTTCTAATGTGGATATGTAAACAGATATGTGAACAGGCAGAGGTAAAGCTAGAGAAGGTGGTAGAGAGAAAGGAGGAGGAGAGACAGGTGAGAGGCCTTAGGTAAGCAGAAGCAAGCAGATAGCGATTGGAAATTCTAGTAAAACAAATATGAAACCCTTTCCCCAGTTTTTTTTTGTATAAAAATAAATATGTCCTTAAGTAAATAGAAGAGGCAGTAGGTACCCCCACCCCCTCTCTCTCTCACTTCCTCTTGCTTTACCTCTGTGTGTTTAGCTTGATGGGATTTTGGGCTTGCCGCGACATTTTTTAAATGGATTTGCCTTTGGCAATGAATGTGCTACGCACTATCATAATGCCAGTCAGTCACTATTATTGTTTCATTGTTAAATGCAAAATAGCAAACAATTTGCATTTGCGTAGGTGTGTGCGTGTGTGTGTGTGTGTGTGTTCGAGCTGCATTTATCCGATAAGCAATTGCATTTCAATTCAATTTCGAGTAAATGGAACTAACGAATTTTCATTGTGCGCCTATCTCTCACGATTTATGCACAAATATGAAACCATAAATAATAAATATGCACAGGATATCGTAGTACAGGATTTAATCAAAAGGTGATTTAGTTGCGCGTGGGCAACAATTTAATACCCTGTTTAGATTCACACAGACTGAGCATTGTCATAGGTGATAATATATGTATATAAAACATATATAATATTCAGCGAGAGTTTCTTCGATTTCTTCTAAATTATGCCTAGAAGTGATTTATAATTTATATTCAATTAGTAACTTCTAATTAAATGATAACTGAAATCAAACACAAAGCAATTTAAATTACACAATGATAATATATATTGGAATAGATATGCTCTCAATGGCAACTGCAGCAAAAAGGTCGATTGTCATTCGACTCCAGGCCGCAGGGTATAGAAAGTGTTATGCAGAAAATTTGCATTTGGTAAGCTAACACCTCGAGATGGTCCTCGGCTGTAGCCCTTGCTTACTTCATTTCAGTTCAGGAAAATTGCAAGAAAAGAGACTATTATCGGCAGGAGCTGTCGCGTGCTGCCTGCAGCTGGGCGATGGGCGAGATGGTGGGCGGGGTGGCGACGAGTTGCGCAAAAGTTGGCACTGTGCACTGTGAAAACTAGCTCTATAAACAACCTGCCCGCAGCTACTGGCTAACAATTTATGAATATTGATTGACAGATTGTTGGATTGAAAGATGCTGCGACCTCAGGCTACGTCCGGGGCAACGGTAAACTTTTCTGCTTAGCCTCACTGAAAGGCAAACAAAATGCAGCCAAAAACATTTGTGCATATTTAATATTTATTATGTATGAAGCTGACTCATTGACTCTTCGACTCTTCTTCGACTCATCCTCGACTCATTTAGGCAACAGGCATTTGAGCCACTTTTTGTTGTGCTTAATATATATTCATTAGGCCTTCGGGGCAGAACTCATTGTTACCTGGGTCTCAAGGAAAACTTTTCTGAAGAGCCCAGCTAGAATATTCAATACAATAAGTAATTTCATTACTTCAACTAAATTTCTGTGTGTTTGTATGTACGCCTTTCTCTTCTCACGAAACTGACAAAAAAAAAATGCATATTTAGCAGTTTATAAATAATACAATTTGGTAATTTGCATTGAATAATATTTGTCTGTTCATTAAGCGAAAATTACAAAATTTGCGTCTTGCTCATTTCAGTAAATTTTCAATTGGAAATATATATAAATACATATTTATCAAGGAGTGCACAGGGTAGAGTGATATATTCGAGGGAATTTGAAGAATATCTTTCTATAGTTCCGACAAAAACATCTATGTATAAAAGGAGCAAAAATGGAAATTTGAATTGAAATTGTATGCTAAACAATTAGGGATCTATTAAACAGAAATTAACAATTTCATATGTTTGCGATCTGTAACTATAGTTCATAAACTAAAGATTAAAATTACAGAAAATCAGTAGCTAAGTAAATATGACAAAACTTTAATTGCAAGTTTATATTATTACTAAATTTCTGTTTCACTCTTAATCAAATTAATTATTTATTTTTAAACAATAATAAGAAAATATAAAACTGGTTAACTGTTTAACTGTCCGCGTAACAATTCTATAAATCTGAAGCGATAAATTGGTGAAGAATTATTAAAATTCCTGTATCCGGTAGGTCTATAATATAAATGAATAATAAATATAAGGTACCTAAAAGTATCAAGAGTATGCATCTATAAAGAATTTCATTTATAGACGTTTTATTCGGATGGCAGTAGAAAAGCTGAATTTAGCTTCAATTTCCTCGCAAGTAAATTATATATCTATTGTGCTTACATATCTCGCGGATTTTTAGAAAAATCTATATTCTATTTAACTGAATTCTATTCAATATGCGAAATATGGTAAAATAGTGGTATAGCAAATGGTTACGTATATATGATCATAAAATAGTGTTATAAATACTATGTCTTAATCAAAATTCAATTGAAGTAAATCCGCTTGATATCACTTTTCAGATATCGGATGTGCACTTTTCCTTTTAAAGTCTATAAGGATTACATCTACAGTTTGGCAACTGACTCTAGAACTAAGTGATTTTTAGTTCTACATCGACAAAGTCTTTAATACGATACAAATTTATAAGTATGTGTATAATTTGGCTAATACACATGCTCTCATTCTTTCATTTGAAAGGCTTATTTATGTTTAAATATGTGTATATTGACACGCATTTTTTTTTGTAAATAAAATTCAGTATCTTTCATCTACAATTTAACGATCTAACCACACAGTACAAATAAAGTCATAGTTAAGAATTTAAAATGGATCACGATTGCTTACATGAACTGACGAGCGATAAGGCTTAGCGAGGAACCGAGATTGAATTCGAAATGAAACTCACTTTTGCTAAAAATTGTAAATTCAAACTGCACCGCACTGCGCTTACGCTTCCTGCTGCCGCTGCCACAGGTAGCTCTGAATCGCCGAGCTTTGCTTGGCAAGTGATACGAACGTTTCAACACAACTCAACCGATGTGAATGAGCGCAGGTCCTTTGGTCGCCTTGGCTTTTATACCTAACGGAATGGGTGACGCGTCGCAGCGAAGCGTGCCAACAATACAGTGGGTAGTGCTCGCTGTTGGTATTGGTATGCAGATAACGGTAAACATAAAAGTGTCTTCCTGCGTGCATGAGTGTGTGTGTGTGCATGTGTAAATGAACTGCGCAACACCCTCGCTGGCCGATAGTGCTCGACAAGCAAGTGACTTTTGCTGTGTTTTTGTTGCGTTCGCAAATTCTGCCTTGGGCCTTGGGTCTTGGGCCAGTGGCTTACATAATACACACAGCAACATGTTGCTCGCTCGTCGACTTAGCCGAAAGCCGCTCATGTTTAATGCACTGCTCCGAAGTGTCGTTAAGCTGCAGATCGCCAGAGTTGTCAGCTGAGTGGAATAAAGTCCCTGTTTTTGTCGTTTTCAATGGAATTTTGAAATGATTACTGACATTTGCTAAACCATTAACTGTAGCAATTATCTAATCAACTATTAATCTGTTTACTCTCTAAAAGTTCCGAAAAATTGGGTAGCAATGTCACATTCATAGTTTGTAGCTGACACTATCAAGTGCCAATTAGATAAAAACAACAAAAATCCATTGTCGACTCGTTAATGTATATTCCATATACATACATATCGAAATCGTTTGCTGTGACTAATCGCAGCACATATGGAGAATTAATTTAGCGTAAAGCAAACATTTCTTTCTCAAACATCAACGTGGGGTCACTTGAGAGATTTCCTGCGGACAGACAATGCCAATTCATTGGCAAACAAAATTATCGAAACAATTAAAAAGTTATAAAAAGCAAGCGTGGCTCGGCTATTCATATTTCCAGCATCCGGCAAAGGAGAACCTTTTAAAACTTGACGCCGAACTTGCACACATGTGCACGTGTATGCCTGTGTGTATGTGTGTATGCTTGTATGAGTGCGTATTTACAGCGAGTTTTCATTAGCTCATTTTGTGGCATTTCAATTAGTCAAGTTATTTATATCAGTGCATAATTTTTGTAATCTATCCTGATTGAAATTTCATTATAAATTCATGTTAAACAATTTTAATTTTAAATTATTAAAGGGTATAGATGCCAAAGTAAATTTTATACAAAATTGTAAATATGTAAATACTGGCTTCTAGCCCATAATCTAAGTTAAGGTTTAAGTCAATAATGCGCTAAATAGTCTCAGACAATAAGCTGCAATAAATGAATTTAAAATAAAAAAAATAAAATTTTATACAAATTTCAGTTCAATATTAAACTCTTTATTATTATAGATATTATTATTATGATTGTTTTGCATATAAAATATATATATAAAATATAAATCACATATTTGACTATAAATTAATAACAACTCTCTTCAAATTCAATAAAATAATTACTATTTATACCTGACCAAAACTAACTTGAGATATATGATATATGTATTAATTACAAATAACATGCAGCTAAAATGCGATTTGGCCCCTGCTTCACCGAGGCCCCCCTATAGGTGAGTTAATAATGTGACTTAATAACTTATATATCAAGACTGTATAATAGCAAACATTATTTATTATGACGAGCGCTGACTCAACAATTTAAAGCTAAAATATAGCATACTTTACGGAGCTCCCAAGAGATGAGGAAAAGGTAAAGGTAAAATATTAAATAACAGATAATAAGCTTAACCAATTCAACAATGTATGTGTATGGGACATAAAATATAGGTTAAACTTTCAGTATCATAACATTTTAATATTACAAATAATTAATGAAAATTCGAAACATATCCAAGAGAGAGAGAGAGAGAGGGAGAGCGAGCGAACTAATAATATTTGCAATAATGACTAAAATATTCGGAGCTCATACAAAAATATTAATTCCTGCCCTTTACATTTCCAGATTGATTACCCCATTAGATTCCAATTCACTCCCACTCGGTCGTACTTATCTAACCTTCTGGGAACGAAGGTATAGATACGAAGATTGGATTGAATACTATTATGTATTCAATGATTTGGCATTTATATATAA